TGTAGCCAACGCTTGCTGCTTTCTCCTCTCTCTGACGATGGCCTCTCGTGTGAAGCCGAAAGCTCGGAACAATAAAATTTCCGTTCCAGGGATCGCGTCTTCTTCTTCTGTACAACAGGCTGCCTCTTTGCAGTCAGCTGAATATACGTGGACTAAATATGACTGTCTGTTACCTAGGCAAAGAGCTATAGGACACCATGGAAGTCTTAAGTAGGTTTATTCTTTCGATTTTCGCGCCGACCTCATCTTTAAGTACACACGTTCGATGAGTATAAAGGATGCGTGCCTTTAATAATCGGAGTACTAGGAGCATATACAAGAAGTTGTACCGAAAAAACTAGGAGAACTGGAATAAACATTTACTTTTCTATCGGCCATCGTCAGCCAGCCGCACTTTATATTCAAAAAAGGATCTTTTGGAAATTGAGAGTTAAGTCCTGCAGTTTGTTATTACACTCGTAAAATGGCAGTTTCTGTTGTTGTCAGAGTTGTTTAGTTTTCCAGGCATACCCAAACTGACTGTCGGTTGTTCGAGAGCCTGCACTCGTTACAGAATGTGAGCGTATGAACGCATTTGCAGAGTTCGGACAATTTGACTATTAGAATTCTGTGGTTTCAGGGAAATATCGTAGCACTAATCTTCGCTTTGAGTATCAGGGTCAATATACGTTGAGGCTGCTAAGCGCTTAAAGTGCTCTAGTTATTTTCATGCATTCTTGCGAACCTAGGTCATGCAATCATATATTCTCCCTAGCATCTTCAAATGCCGAAAAGCAATGAAGAATATGAGTCGAATTCCTCCTCAGAGTGCATGTTATTCCGGATAGATATGATAGGGATCATATTCCGAGCTTAGAAAGTGAAAACTCTTAGCTAGAAAAAATTCGACTAGAAGGGTACACAGACTTCGACATATTTGCCAGATTATCCATTGCGTGCGTATCAGTCCTATTTACACGATGTCATCGAGTCTGATTGCAAACGTACAGTGATAAGTTAAAATAGCCCATCGTTTTACTTTTGCAAACGGTCCAGGATTCTACCAAAACGTAAACTAATAGTTTTCAGTTTCGTCAATGGATTTTTAGGACTAACACGCATCAATATTATGGCATGGAAACTAGAAATTTCCTTTAACCTATCACACAATGCTTCAGTCTAAATCAAAAATGTACATTTGCTCCACTTTCTAGTCCACTGGCTTATTTTATTACGCGTTTTTGAGTCATCCTGTCCTCACTCAGCAGACTTTCCAGGGACCATTGGAAATCTACGTATGTTTATCAGCCAATGAAATTACGACATTTTTGGGTGCAACATTGGCGTAGCCTGATAGCCATTAAAAGCAAAATACAGTAATCAGACCTTCTACGGCATAGGTCAGAACTTTCACTGTCGGGCAGAAAATGTGTTATGGGAAGAACCGACCACCCTCATCCAAATACTCATACCGCCGGGCAGACATTCAACCCAAAGATTTTTGTGGCAAAAACAGTCCTCCAAAAATCCGAACATCAACCGTAAAGAGTTCACTGAAGATCACAGCTGCACGATGCCTTTACTTTGTAATTTTTTACTCCGTCCTTTTTGGCTTCAGTTTGGGCTACTTGAACCTGTTCATGCACTTTCAAATCAGTCGAGATTACCCCAAACTGACAGGGCGAGCCAGCTCTCTCGGGTTTAATCCGGGTCTTAGCGCTCTTCCTGTACTTGACATCTTTACCAGTCTCATCGGTTATGTTGATAGACAGCCTCAGTCTGTGAATGCAGTCACCTCACAACTGTTGGCCTATCTGCAATTCTACCAACTTTCCAGAATGGGAGATGAACTCAATGACTGCTCAAATTATTCTTCAGACGCGCTGGACATTCGTCGACCCGGTTTCTTTAACCTAGACAGAGTCGGTCCATGCAACCTGCTGAATGATTACGGCTTCGAAGACAACAGCCCATGCATACTGCTAAAAGTCAATAAGATCTACGGTTGGGTGCCGGATCCTGTGCCATTTGCGCACGGTGTGTTGGTCACTTGTGAAGGCGCTACCGTGGACGATACACAAAACCTCGGCGAAATTAATTACTTCGATTATGACACCTACGGAAGTACACATTTTGAGGGCGATAAGGCAGAGGGTAAACGTCTGAACGGTACGTTTCCATCAACGTTCTTCCCATACTTGAATCAACCGCAGTATCAACAACCACTTGTCTTTGTCATGTTTCGTCATATGAAACCCAACACACTAGTTCGAGTACAGTGCTACCTCATAGCGAAAAACATTCGCGTGGATAGGGCTCGTGGAGAAGGATCAGTGAAATTTGAAATATTATCGCATTAATAAAGTGTTTATATGTTTTGATATTTTTGGACTTTGAAGGTCAATGCATTCGCTGAAAAGGATCGTTATAACATGTTATAGTAACAGTGTATATACAGACGATAAATCTGAGAATGCAATGTTTTTTCGTGAAATTATAATGATAAAAATCTGTGCTCACAGGAATTGACCATTTTGTAAAAAAAGGAATCTTGTGGACGCCCTTTCAAAGCATTTAACAAGAAAACCTTGCTGTGGGAAAAAACAGTTGGGGCTAAAATACTAGATAATGGCGAGTTAGCAAGTCTATTTTTTGGTTAAAATTAAGGATTATTCTGCTAAGAGAACGAGCACTGCGAGTATGTTTGCGGTATGTTTTAGGTAACTCAACCGCCAAGGAAACTTTTAATCTAATTAAGCTTACCAGATAGCGTTTGCGACAAACATGACTAAAAACTGAGGAATAATAAATGCGGGCTATCCTTTGCATAAATAATGGCAGGCGATGAATGATATCTACCTTCAGTTGATCATAACTGTGATTTCCGTTTGAAGTCTCATAGCCACGGATATTCAAATTATGGATTAAAATTTCGTTTAAGAGTGGTTTACAGTACAAATCCGTCAAGAAACTTTGAATACGGAAAGAGTTCAAATAACCAGAAGTCATTGTTCACAGCTTTTATAGATTGAAAACTAAGAGGGGAACGGTAAAGTAAATACAATGAGTGTTTATAATAATTGGAATTTTGCGAATGACGACCATTTCCATAGGAGGTGTTTGGTGGACGTTCAAACTTTAATAATACTGCCAGTGATTAGATGATTAGAGCATAGTGCACGACCAGAATATTTGTCTTATAAAAGACCTATTCATTAGGCGTTCGTGTGCGTACGTTTGCCTTAGATAAATCCTTTTCAGGCCGTCCTATTTGTATTGATATGTAAATAAGTAAAATATGTGAACGAGTAGAAGACGCAAGGTTGCGAGAGTAGGAGGGATAGCAAAATGTGGTTAATGTCTTCTGGTCAGTGTCGGGGTCATGGCTGCCCTCGGATAGGATAGTTACGTGTGGCCGGCTTTCGGCCATGGGAACTGCGGCGCTTGTATAAAGTTTATCTGTGCTCACATTACTGTTCTACATAATTTCATTGCAGCCGCCTCTGTCGTAGACAATAGACGCTGTCCAAGGGGTTTTGGAATAGCTTGGGGAACCTATTTACTCGCTCAGGAAGCCTGACCGGCATCTACGCAGTGATGTGTATCTCTCATATGTGCGAGGATACAGGTGTTTGCGTTTTTTATTCAGATATTTCCTAACCATTGGGGAAGGTGCTCTTATATTCTTTTGGACAAATACCTGCACTTGCGACAAATATAATAGGCTACCCAGCAGCATATAGAAGTGGTGTTGGTTTGTGGTTTGTCTTTACCGTCGCCGTATGTGATGGGGCAGTCGGGCGTCAGCCGTTGGAAAGGCGCTTGATAGAGCTTGACTTAGGTGCCTTCTAAAAACTTAGTTTGTAGTGTTCCTGTGTTGCTGTAAATGCAAGGACCTGAAGAGGGGATAGCGAAAGCAAACGAAGGATCGATAGGTGGTCTTATGTCTTTTCGATTGGAATTGTCGCAATTCTAATTCACTTGGGTCAAATAATAATAAGGGCCTTCGATATGGACTGTGGACAGACAGTTGGTGCTGTGTAGACATTCCCGACAAATAATGCATATTGATCTGCTAGTGAGCCCAGTTGGCGGCGGAAGAGTCTAACAGGTAGGTTTACCGACTTCGAACTCTTCATTGTGGCTCGCCTCGAAGAACTAACAGCTGATTAACGGCCTCAGCTTTAAAATAGCGACAAGTTCTCTAGTTTCAAAACACGAATGCCCAATGAATAAACCTCTGCCTTTTGTAAGTTTTCTCAGAAGGCTCTGACAGAAGTAGGTAGTTTAAGCTAAGTAACTGTTAAGTGGGATCCTGGTGTGGCATGGTCTGCATCGTTGTTGTATTTTTATTTCACATTAAATTTCTATGAATTTTGACATACGGTAAGGAAGCCAAACATTTGAGTGGAAATAACCAAATATTTAATACCAGTTTACTAATCACCTATAGTTACCATATACAGGTATGTTTTTTACGTAAAATTGAAAGAGGTCGCCCTGAAATGTTATTTTTATTTGATGCTTTCCACCTAGTATAGGGAAGATGGCAACACCGTTTTCTGATTCTGTTTTCTGTTATCGTGCAACAAATATTGGGCAGTACTCGTGCAGACAATTGTAAACAGGGAAAAACGTATTAATGCGCACGATAGGTGACCAATGCCACTATTAAACAACAATAACAAATCCTAAGCGGAAAGAATAAAACGCCGTGGAAACTTGCAAAGTAATATTCGCTTAGTATGTGAAATCAGTATTCGAAAATAGCAGGAATCCGAAGGAGGAAACTGTAAAAGCGATCCGGCTTCGGGCAAACTACGTAATAAGTGGACAGAAAAAGTGCAAAAAATAAAAAAAGCAAATTTATCGAGAACTCTGGCCTTCGTTTCAAGATAGAAAGACCCTCCATTTTCTTCTTTCTTGCAGAGAATATGGCGGAATTCGTGGAAGCTAAGGAGGTAGATGAAGCACAAAGCTTTTTCACTATAAGTAAAGTCGTACGCAAATCGGCGCTGAGTCGACCTCGTGAAGTAATGAGGTCTGTCACGTGCGGCTTGCAAATACATGCAAACGAATCACGTTTTGTTTAATTAGAAAAGCATGAACCGCTTGAAACAGACTTCCAACTAAATTGTCGGATACATTTGAAACCTTCTGATTGCTACACTCGAATTCAAGACTTAAAAACTGCACGCTGTGTACATCCTGCTTGAGGATAAGCACGTTATCACCTACGGGTTGAGGAAGAAGTCGCATAGTTCTCATAAGATAATACAATAGATGCGGAACATGCTGTATACGGATACGAGGTGTTTTGAATGAGCAGCTCACAATCGTAAATAAGCTCATAATTGGAAACATTTTAAAACCGAAAGAAGCTCTTTCTTGAAGTATCAAATATAAGGAAGGTGTAATTTTCTACCAAACGAGTACAAAAAAAATTATTCGTTCGGATTTGCTTTCCGTTAAATATAGTTGAATACATAAAGGCAGTCAAAAAATAATTGTCAAAAGGCATACTACTAAAGTGACCAATTTTTACAGTACATACGCCTTGTAAGCGGTTAGAAAGCCGGTATCTTGTCCTGACTGAATTGGCTTTAAAATTCACTACACGATAAGCAGTATTAAAAACCCTATTCAATGGCGAGTAGCGAGAGAGTATCAATCTTTCGTATATATCGGCAAGTCACATGAATTTGGGCCATACTGTAGTAGACAGCGTGTGCTTACGAAAATAGACGGGATTTATTAGTTTCCAGTACTAACCAATGTCAGGCCCATTCATTTTTTGAAGAATCCATGAAGTTGGCAAATAGAGTCCAAAACTATTTATAGTCGATCATTATGGCTTTATCAAATACAGTTGTTAAAGCCGCTTGCTCACGCCTCGAGTGTTTACTTTACTAATGTATTATTCTGTTTGTATTCCAGTACCACAGTCTGCAATGCACAGTAAAAATGACCAGAAACGTAAATAAACATGCATTTGCGCTGCTGTCCTGAAAATTTTATGTTCATGTGTAGTAATTATGCGAAGATTTTGGAATGATTAATTTTGGTTGTTGATTAGTTAGTTTTCTAAGAGTTCTTATACATAACAGTAGCCACGAGGACTGCCAAAAGGTTACATAACTGACCTAAATCATGGACGTTTCCCTTTCACTGAGCTAGAACCTAAACGAGCTGTCTACTGAGTGATGAATGCGTGGGAGATCGGCCAAGGCACTTCTTAAAGGAACCTACTCCTTAAAAGAGAACACATGTTCACTCACAAATGAGACAACCAGAGACTACTTACCCTACGGAGTTGGATTTTTATATTTCATCGAAACATTCCTTAGCATAGTCCTACCTCGAGTTGTGTACATTTTCTGATTTCTAACAAGGCTGTCATTCAAACCATCGGCTTGATTGTTTTTTCCTGACTTTAGTATCCCAGATAAAAAAGCTTTACCCTTCCTGCTGGTGGTCCATACCGTGGTAAATTTATTGTCTTACAAACCAGCCCAGATAAAGTTTAGGACGCGCGTAATCTCATACTCATATTTGTTACGCTTGTTGCAAAAATAGGATGCTTGTCAGTTACTGATACAGGTATAGGAATACATTACTAGAATATACTATCCGCTGGTTTAAGTGGATGTGGTTACTAGAATAACCACGTCCCACATTGATATATTTCTTCTAGGAGCAGTATGCTAGACCAAACTTAGTAACGACTGCTTACTACGTTTCCATTTCCTACCTACACGTATAGACCACATTGTAGTGCACTAATTATGGGCCTTAGCATATATTATTACTAGAATTAGCACTCTAAGCAATTGAAATTTATTTTGAGAAGAAGAGGAATTTTCGAACACTGGAACAATCATTTTATT